ATTTAGAACAGCTGCCATAGGGAATGGGATATAAAATTGATTAGAGAGAGATGACTTGCCTTACTTCAGTGAGAGGTCAGTTGAGATTGATGTAAAAAGAAAATGTATCAATAAAATGGGGGAGTGTGTGTGTGTGTGTGCGCGCGCGCGTGTGTGTGTGCGTGCACATGCTTAAAACTAGGGTATGATAAGGCGAAAAAAAAAGAAGACATTAGATTGGGAATTAATAGTCTCCTTCTGGCCAGGTAACTAATTTGCTGTGTGATCTGGGTCTCATTTTCTTCTTTTATAAAATGAGAGTGTTGGCCTAGCTAACCTCTCTAGGGTCTTTCTTGATCTAATATTCTATGATTTTGGGGTGAGGCAATGACGATATCAGAGATTCAATGAAGATAAATTTATATTGAAATACCAAACTAAACGTGTAATTGGGAGGGGGGCAGTGTGTAATCTTGTCAACATCCTATTCAAGTAAACTATCTATCCCGGAGTGAATTGTAACCCAGGCTAGCAAAGGGATCCCAGGGAGGCTTGGCTATTTCCAGCACCCTCTGGTCTACAGCTGACAGCCAGGTGCCTCAGTCATACCCCATTGCAGTTACTTTGAAATGTTAGAAGTTTGAGTTACCCCCACACTCTGTAACTGTAGCTGATGACCTTTCATCAAATGCCAAAGTTCTTGCTGGCTATGAATAAACGTGGGGACTGCATTGCAGCCACAGATAAAGGTCCATAAAAGGGTGAATGAAATGTCTGCCTATTTTCTTAAAGGTACATACGGTTGGTTAGTTGTCCTTTGTGCTCAGAGAGGACCAAAATGACATAACTATGTTAGGTTCAAGGCACAGTGTGTCCAACTGTGGCTGATCAGACCAATACAAGCTTGGAAAGCTCTATCACAGGTCAGGCACAACTAGTCCATATGAACACTTGGAGTAGAGATGTCTCTGAATTTGTGCATCTCGTGTTTCTTTTGAGCTACTTCAATTAAAGGTACATATAGACCTTGGTTGCAGTATACTTAATAAAAATAGCTAAGATTCTTATAGCACTTACTATTAATTAGTAACTAATTAGTCCTGTGCTTAATGCTTTACAATCATTTGATCCTTATTTGATCCTCTTCTGGGAGGAGGTAGGTGTTATTACTAGGTGTCATTATTATACCTATTTTGCAGATGAGGAAACTGAGGCAGACAGGGATTTAGTGACTTGCCCATGGTCACATGCTAGAAAGTATCTGAGGCCAGGTTTGAATTCAGGTCTTCCTGACTCCAAGCCCGGTGCTCTTTCCACTGGACCACCTAGCTGCCCCTAGTATATAATAATAATAATGACAATAACAACAACAACAACATTTATATTTAGCTTCCTATGTGCCAGGCATTTTATAATTGTTATCTCTTTGACCCTCACAACAACCTTCAGAGGTAGGTGTTATTATTATCCCTATTCTACAGATGAGGAAACTGAGGCAGACAGAGATTAAGTAACTTGCCCAGGGTCACAGAGCTAGTAAGCGCCTGGGGCAGGATTTGAACTAAGGTGTTCCTCACTCCTGGCCTGGCACTATATGCACCGTGCCACCTAGCTATCCTTGCTGATACTTAAGTATGTTTACTTAATACTTGGTACTTAAGATAATATTTTTCATAGCTTTGGAGTTCTCAACCAGCAGATAAGTATCAGAAAATCTGAAAGCTATACCTGGTGGATCCATAAGCTAATTGCCACTACCCCCTCATCCTCGTCTGCCCCTCCTTCCAGCTCCCCCACCCCTACTCCTGCGGTTTGCTGGAATTCTCAGCAGGAAGAAAAGTGCACGTGGAAGCTGCCTCCCTTCCCTCCTCCCCAGAGCAGGAACTTGAGTGTTAGCGTCTTTCTCTATCTTTTCCCTTTCCAGTAACTAGGGGGCAGTATGGAATAATGGACAGGGTACGGGCAGCGTACCATGATGGACAGAATAGAGGACTCAGAGTTAGAAACACTGGTGTTTAAGCAAATCCCAACTCTGACACTTGCTGGCTGCATGAGCAGCCAGCTTAACCTCTCCAAGCCTCAGTTTCTTCATCTGTAAAAAAAAAAAAAAAAATGCCTATAGTACCTGCCTCACAAGTTTGTCCTGAGGCTCCAATGAGAGAATTATGTACAGCACTTTGCTGACTTTAGAGGGATATATAAGTACTAGTTATTATGGGCTCAAAGGCTTCCTCTCACAAAAACTTGGGAGATCCTGCTCCTGTTCTAAACTGTAAGCAAGTTAATAATAGCTAGCATTTACCTATATGTACATATTTATATAGTGCACATATATACATATTTACATAAAGTTTGCAAAGAACTTTATATTTATTATTTCATTTGACCCTAATAACTCTGAAGCCTTCACAAACCCATCCTCTCTACCTAGTAGCTGTCTCTCCCCCACCCCACCATTACAAATTGCTTTCATATTTCTGTTTTATTTGTAGTGTACTTACACTTATGATAGTCAGTGTGGGAAGTGGGTAGGGGGCTAGCCTCAGAGTGAGAAAGATCTGAATTCAAGTTCTCCCTCTGACCCTAATAGCTCCTATGACTGTGAGCTACTCACAGCCTCTCAGTGCCCCAGGCTATTCCCTAAGTGGTAGAGGGGAGGCCCATGTTCATCAGCACAGGGAGTTTTCATCAGAGGCCAAATGAAATCACAGGTCCAAAATGGGGGAACTTAATCTTTATATTTGTACTTGTTACATTTCAGACTCCCAAAGAATGTAAATTCTTTGAGGTTAGTGGCTGTGTCATTCATGTCTTAGTATTGCCTGGTACTAATAAACATTTTTTAAGCACCTATTACGTGCCAGGTACTGTGCTAATCACTACGGATACAAAAAGAGGCAAAAGACCCTTCCCTTAAGTAACTTACTACTTTAAAGGGTACCTCGCATGTGTTGTTACTATTGTCCAGTCATTTTTCAGTCTTGTCTGATTCTTTCTTTTTTTTGGCTAAGCAATGGGATTAAGTGACTTGCCCAGGGTCACACAGCTAGTAAGTATTATATGTCTAAGGACAGATTTGAACTCAGGTCCTCCTGAATCCAGGGCCGGAGCTCTGTCCACGGTGCCACCTAACTGCCCTTTGTCTGATTCTTTATGACCCCATTTAGGGTTTTCTTGGGAAAGATACTGGAGTGGTTTGCCATTTCCTTTTCAAACTCATTTTATAGATGAGGAAACTGAGGCAAACAGGGTTAAGTGACTTGCCCAGCGTCATGCAACTAGTAAGTGTCTGAGGCCAGACTTGAACTCAGGAAGAGGAGTCTTCTTGATTCCAGGCCCAGCACTCTGTGCACTATGGTGCCACCTAGCTGCAGCTTACATGTAATGGGTACTTAATTGCCCATTAAATTGACTCCAGTTTCTATTACCGTTTTAGAGGCAACACGAAGTGGTAGAGAGTGAATACAGAGCTGCCATTCAGGTAATTGTATAACCCTGCTAAAGTCACAACCTCTATGAACCTAAGCTTCTTAGTCTAAAAATGAGGGCATTGGATGAGATGAGGGTCTTCTCATTCTAAAAGTTTATGGAAGAGGAACATTACTGTGTACATATAGATATACATATATATATGCATGTGCGTATAAATGTATAGACATATGGTGTGTGTAGAGAGCTGACTTCAAAGTCAAGAAGACTTGAATTCAAGTTATACTTTGGCCATATTGGCTGTGAGACCCTGGGTAAATCATAGAACCTGTGCTCTAGAAAGTTCTCCATCACTGTAAGTTGTAGAGAAGGTTACTGTTGTTTGTCCTTCATTCTCAAAGAGGACCATGACATCAGAGAGGTGATGCCCTGACATGCAAGTGAATTGGATTTAAGTGAGAGAGGACTGTGCAAAGTCACCAGCCCAGCCTCACTTTCTCCTCCAGAGCCAAGTAGGTCCAGTGGCAAGGTATTGATCAGGACAACTGGAGATGGCCCAGGATGCAGTGGAAGACTAATATGCTTTGGTAGACGGAGTCTCCTAACCGGAGAGTTGTCTATACTAATAAAATTACAGGTCCAATCCCTATCCCCATATTTGTGTGTGTGTGTGTGTGTGTGTGTGTGCATGCATGTATATTCTTGTATACCCACATCCTCTAAAGAGTTAGAGAGGAACTGGATAGATGGCAGGAATGCATACCAGGAGCTTAGCTTGCATATCAGTAGCAACCAAAGACTATCAGTTCATGGGAACATAGGATTTAGTGCTGGAAGAAACCTTAGGGATCAAGACCTTTTATAAATGAGGAAACTGAGACCCAGAGATATTATGTGATTTGCCCAAGATTACTTTTAAGCACTAAGTAGAGCCAGGATTCAAACATATCTTCTGACTCCAAAATTCAGTGCCTGAAAAAAATACAGCTAATCTAATTCTGGTTGGATTAAGCGGCTGCTGTTATTATTATTCAGTTCTGTCCAACTCTTCGTGACCCCATTTGGGATTTTCTTGGCAAAGATACTGAAGTGGTTTGCCATTTCCTTCTCCAGCTCATTTTACAGGTGAGGAAACTGAGGCAAACAGTTATGTGACTTGTCCAGGGATGCACAGCTAATAAGTGTCTGAGGCTAAATTTGAACTCAAGTCTTTCTGATCCCAGGCCCAGCACTCTATCCACTGCACCACCTACCTGCCCTGGATTAAGTAGTAATTGTTAGCAATTACAGATTTGTGAGAAAAACATTTGATTGTATCTAAGTTGCATTTTTTTCTTTAAAACTTACATTAATTACAGCATCACTTTTAGATATGGTAATTTAAGATTAATAAATGTCATGCTTTTAAAATTTAATAATAAAAAATTCATAAAGAAAAATAAAAATTGAGTGACATCATGCTCTGTTTCTGTGATCCAGTTAAATATATTTATGGAAAACTTTCTCCTTCAATCAAGTGCCATAACAAACATGTACCACTATGTACCCTATAATTATAGGTACCTAGGAAGAAATCGAAATAGACACCATGGTCTTATGAACTGAAATTTATAAAGTGCTGGCAGATGTCCCAAACACAAATAACTATTAGATGTGAGAGGATAAAAGTATAAGATTCAATACAAATCAATGAAGCTTTTTTTTTTTTTAAGGAAGAACAATTTTATTTTCTCTTTTGCTCCCCTACTTCTCAAAAGATCTTTACCATTTGTGGCCCTATAGGAACTGCCTTTTGGGTAGGGTGCCCAAAGCACCATACAATATTTGGTATATCAAAAGGATTGTGGGAAATAAAAAAAGTGCTTTGGTCTTGGTCTGGCATGGCAGTTTATCTTTTCACAGAGTACACTATGATCTTTGGTCCTATTCTTTTTGGTATCTCAGCCTGTGTGGGAAGATGAGATCTTCACTTGGCTGCATGCTTCTTGTAAATCTCTAGGAATTCATTCACATCATCAGGGGACCCCAGAATCACTGGTGCTCTCTCATGGATGTCAGTGGGAACAATGTCCAGCACAGCTTTGCTTCCTGTGGTAGCCAGTCCCCCAGCCTTTTCCATGACAAAGGCCATTGGGTTACATTCATACAGGAGTCTCAGCTAGAAAATAAAAGACAAGAACAATTTGGGAATTTAGAGATGTAAACTTCTCATCTGACATAGGAGGAAATTGCAGTTTAAAGAGGATGATTTGTACAAAGTCATTTAGGTGGTAAAGCCACAGAATCAAGATTTGAACTTGGGTCCAAATCTAGTGTTCTTTGCACCATGACAAACTCCTCAGCCTAGCATTTAAAACCAGAGGCATTCTGAAGCCAGCTCACACTTGGAGAGAGCTGATTGTTAAATTTTCAGTGGAGTATTTACACCTTTGAAATCAGTAAACTACAAAATCAAGGCTTGATATATTGCTTTGTTTATTGTCCAGGCTTAAGAAAATGTTGGATAAAATCTATTGTGTCAAATTACAAAATCTTTACCCAGAATTATATAAAAATGCAAATAGTATATTGAATTTATTTGTAGAGCAAGAAAAAAATACCATGTCTTCCACAACCAGAATTTTGAACTCTTCCCACACTTTTGAAGTATAATATACCAACTAAAGTTGAATATCTGACAGAAAATCAGTTAGTGGCATAGGGACTCATTCTGTGAGTAGAGTAGAAAATAAATTTGTGAAATATGCAGCAATAAATCTCCAGAAAACATGAACAAAATGAAAATTAGAGAAGAACCTAAAGGATTGTCAAATATGATCTGTAGGAAGTTCAATACCTATGGAATTTGATTTGCAAACTATGAACTGTGCCATTCTTTCTTCCTACCTCTTTAGTGTGGAATGTTGCACAGATCACTATCGCTATCGTGATTTGTGGTAAATCTTTCTGACTGCCCAATATAATATTTTGAACATGCACATGGCTTTACAATTAAATCAATGTAGTTTGGAAACTTGACTAGTTTCAAAATATTCTGGAATGAAAGTTATTTTTAAGCTGAAAAAAAAAAGAAAATGTTGGAGAAATGATGGAGAAAATGTTAATCGTGCAGGTTAAGGTTGTTAAGACCATGGAGTCAAAGAAAAGTGGACGGTACTTTAAAAGGATAAACAATTTCTGTTACTCCACTTACAATAAGTGGTAGAACAATGTTTCTTAGACTATATAAGAAATCATATTCAATATCTGAGAAAAACCCAAACATGAGTCATGTAATATAGGTCAGTATAATCAGTAACTGCATGATATCTGAGAGACAAGTTTCACAACAGATCCATGCTTTCCTTGCAAAAGTGTTGCTGTTTCCCAAGAGCTAATAGGCTCATTAGGTGTCTATCTCTATAAATCATTTAAAAACAATCAAATAGGAAACAGAATAGTACAGAGGAGTCAAGAGGACCTGGGTTCAAGTCCTGCCTCTGACAAATAATTGCTGTGTGACCTCTGGCAACTTGCCATCAGTGTCCCCAGGCAATTCTCTAAGAGGATAAATTATAAACTCCTTGGTGATCTGCACTGGTAGGAGTTTTCCACACTGGGAATTCTGTACAGTGACAAAAATCACAAGATCATAGATATGGAAGAGATCTCCAGATGTCACTTACTTCATACTCTAGTCCCCACCCCAACTTCTGACTTTAAGTAGGTTGTTTAGTTGTTTCGCTTATATCTGACTCCCCAACTCCATTTGGGGTTTTCTTGGCAAAGATACTAGAGTGGTTTGCCATTTCCTTTTCCAGCTCATTTTACAGGTGAGGAAATTGAGGCAAACAGGGTTAAGTGACTTGCCCAGCATCACACAACTAATTAAGTGTCTAAGATAGAATTTGAACTCAGGTCTTTCTGGCTCCAGGCCCATCACTCCAGCCACTGTGCCACTTAGAAGCCTTTTCAAGTATAACTACCTTTAAACCAAAGAACATGCCCTAGTACTTCTCAGCAGTCTATTAGCAACTTTGGCAGGGGCTGGAGGAGTTGGGGGTTGGGGGGTGAGGTGGAGTTGGGAAAAGCACTCTTCCTCATACCTAACTTAAACTTCACTGTGGAATTGAGCCCATTTCCTTGGTCCGCTCTTCAAAGAGGAGTTCTTACCTTTCCTTTGGGGCTCTTTTTGTTGGCTGGATACAAAAAGATTCCTCCATACACCAATGTTCTGTGCACATCTGCCACCATGGAGCCCACATATCTTGCACCGTAAGGAGCTGTATTATCCTGCCAATTTCAAGATAATTAGTAATTAGGATTGAAAGCAGGGGGAAAAATAACAATAGTTCATATATACCTTCAAGCCTATAAAGAAGAGCTTTAAAAACAGATTTTGTTTTTCCTTCCAAACATGTTCACAGTCTCATTTTAAAAGGGGAAGGGGAAGGTGGAGGTGAAGGGGAAAAAGAAAGGGGAGGAATGGGGGAAGAGATTGTTAAGTGAAGCAACTTGGGATGGACGCCATCGAGAACAAATGATCCTGGAGGCTTTAATTCCACAATGGCCCATGTGAAATTATAACCCCTGAGTTCATAGGTCCCTGAACTGAAAGTGTTTTATGACCAATTAGCTCATTAATCTTGCAAGAGGTGGTTACTTTTATTATCCTGTTTCCCCTCACTTCTACCTCCTACCTCTCCCCTGGGCAAGAATTCTGATGGCAGTGCCAGGAACTGAACCTTTAGACTCTCAAGGGCCAGAACAACACATGTTGTTCTTTGGGTCGCCTTCTCCTTATTGCAATTTCACAACACAATCTTCTTCTGGTTAATTAATAAAAGTCACTCAATGAGTGGGGTTGGTTCTGTGAAGACTCAGAGTAGTTACTCCCCTTCCATTATCTGATATATATGTGTGTGTGTGTGTGTTTGCGTGCGCTCGCCTATACACATACACACACACACACACACACACACATCTCTCTCTGTGTTGTATGTATATATGTATATATACATATACACATACCTGTGTGTATATACATACATGCATTTATATGTGTATGTATATGTAAATCTATCTTTTTTTTTTTTTGCAAGGCAAATCAGGAAAGAACAGATATCTATAGTTTTTGTAACAGACCTAACATAAGGCAAATATCCTGTTCTGTTTTTGCCCTTATAAGCCCTTATCATCTTGAATAGCAGTTCTTAACCAGAGGTCTGTGAAGTTCTCCTTTTTAAAACATTTTGATAATTAGATTTCCATAAAATGTAATCCCATGTATTTTATTTTATGCATTTAAAAACATTCTTCAAAGGGATCCATAGGCTTCACTAGATTGCCTAAGGGATCCTAAAAGGATTAAGAGTCCCTGTCTTTGAATGATGCTTCCCCCACTCCCCATAACAAAGCCTTTTTTTAACATTTACTTTTTTTGTTTTTTCTCAATTACATGTAAACAAAAATTTTTAACATTCATTTTTTAAAATTTTGAGTTCCAAATTCTCTCACTCCCTCTCTTCCCTAACTCCTCCTTGAGAAGGAAGACAATTTTATATAGGTTATACATGCACAGTCATACAAAATATTTCCATATTAGCCATGTTGCAAGAGAAAATTGACCTCCCTGGGACCCATAACTTGGTAATTAATCTTGTTGAAGTAATCAAGGTTGGTTCTTGCCTAGCAGTAACATGGCTTATTACCATACTTGAAAGTTTTCTATCTTACACTCAACTGTCATAGCTGATCCCAATTGTGAGGTGTATTCTACCTGGGCAGTGTATTTTACTTGTGTGTATCACAGAGGTGGTACACATATATGCTTACCTGGGGAAATTTCTTCTTCTGGATATACTCTGTGATAGCAGGATCAAAGTCTCTGGCATAGCCCTCATTAAGACTGTAGATGTTACCTTTCTTTTTTATCTTCACATCCTTTTCCACCAAAATGAATTCCCCAATAGCCTTTAAAAAAAATGAATTGGGAAATCTTTCAATATTCAAATATAAGTGGATAGCCTGAAGTTACCATTCAGTCATGATGTGACATGACTCTAGAAACGATGCAAGGTATGTGGTACTCTAGGCAGGGTATTGCTTATGCGGTTAAGTACTTCAAAGGGGATTGGGGGAAAATATCATACATTACCATTTTGTGCTAGGAGAAGTACTAAGGCAAATTTTTCTTGTATAACAGATTTCTGCACTACTTTCATGGTAGAGCACAGTTGAAGATCTGCCCAGTCAGTTTTTAGCTTTCAACTGATACCAGGTACAAAAGACAACACATCCCCCCACCCTACCCTCACCCCACCATGTTTCACGCAGGTCACTTAACTATTGCCCCGCATGAAGAGCTGATCATCACTGGAAAGTCTGGGACATACCAAGCCACCCAACCCCATGTAAGCAGTGGGATACAGCACATAAAGATGGAAAAAGGGAGGTGTCTATGACAAACTAAACTGATATCTAGAAAATAAAAATCTCATAATGCAAAGCAGCCACATGAAGACAAGAAGTCATGCTTTCTGGATGCGGTAGGAACAGCTACTTATTCACTGAAACTATATACAGCATCTGCCATAACACCGGGTAGCAAGCTCCATCTCCATGATATCAAGGCAGAGATAACTGATGTCAAAGCCTTTTTGAATATAAAAGCAACAAGAAAATGCAAATTGTTGTTGCTATTGTTGTGACTTGCTTAAACATATATTTATATGCACAGATATTGTTTCCACCTATAGAATGTAAGTTACATGAGGGCAGGGACTGTTTGATTTTATTTTTGTATCCCCAAGGGCCTAGCTGAGTATATAGTAATAAATTCTTTTTTTTTCCTTGGTGAGGCAATTGGGTTTAAGTGACTTGCCCAGAGTCACACAACTAGTGAGTGTTATGTGTCTGAGAAAAGACTGGAACAAAGATCCCCCTGACTCCAGGCCAGTGCCCTATCTACTGTACCACCTAGCTGCCCCTGGTAAAAAACTCTTACTAAATGCTTATTCATTGATAAAAAGACTTTTATAATAATAAATATTTATTAAGTGTTTGAGGTATACAAAGTCCTATACTAAGTGCTAGGGGAAATACAAAGTTTAGATGACACAGTCCCTGCCCTCACAGCATGGGAATAAGTCACAGGCACTAATTTATTATTTATATTAGGATGATTTTAATCAGATTGAGTAACAGCAGCCAAAAAAACCCAAACAAACAAACAGTACTACATTAACTTTTAAAATCTTTTAAAATATGTAGTGGCTGTTAGGTTTCAGGAGGGCAAACGAAGAATCGAATATAGGAAAACTTACACCTTTAGATACCCTTTTGCAATCTGGAAAGAAGAATAGATTTATTTTTTTTTCTTCATCTGAAGTTACTCAAATATAATATAAACTCAGGAGTGGCTCTATTCTGAACTGCCCATCTATTTAATCTCAGTAAATCTCAAACTTGAAGGGTATGTGGTAAGCAATAAATTAAATAACAGAATTAACTACTTCAGAAACATGTGCTTTGGCCATGGGTTTAGTCCTTTACTAAAAGCAGGAATCCTGGTTCTGCCACAGTTTTTCTAAATGAATCTCAGTTATCTTGGTCTCCAATGGTAGTATCAATCTACTTTTATGTGTTATACCCCCACATTTTGAAGGGATATAAATTCAGTTCTGTAAAACAATATGGGGGCTCTGCTTGGGCCCAGAGAGCAGAGACAGGAGGAAGCTGCAAAGAGGAAGGTAGAGGCACCAAGTAAGGAAAAACTTTCCAAGAATCAGAAGTGGTCCTCTTTGCTGGAGGTCTTCAAAAGCTAGATATCCTCTTGGATATGTTATAGGAGGGATCATATGATCACAGATTTGGAGCTGGAAGGGAACTTGGAGCGCAGTGAGACCAACCCCATCATTCTTATCCAGCTAGGGTTTGGTCTAGGTTGCCTCTGACATCCTTAGCAAATTCTCAAATTCTGTGATTTAGTGGAAAATATGGTAAGCACACAATTGTATTCTTTTTATGATTCTTTCAAACCACTCTACCCTAGATGCTGTTTACCCCTCAAGTCCAGAATTATTAAATTCAGTATTTTTCAATTATTTACAGACCCTCAACAAAATGTACATCAATGCTATGCTTGCTGTTATTTCATTAATTCTATATGAGGGAATTTTGGTCAATGAAAATAGTTAATCAGTTTATATTTATTTGTTTTGTATATATGAAATTATGTCAGGAGAAAAGAAAATTTTTAAATTGTTTTTAAAAAGATTCACTAATTTATTTATTTTTAGTTTTCATCATTCACTTCCATAAGATTTTGAGTTCCAAATGGAGAAAAGAAATTTTTAGAAATAGTTTGTTTTGGTTGGGTTTTTTTCCTTACTAAATAACTGAATGTAAAACAATTTATCTACTAGGTTAAAGATCTATAAAGTAAAATTATAGCAGTGACAATTTTTCATGGTACCTTGGGAACCTCACATTCAACCTCTAAATTTTTGGAGAAACAGGCTATTAGCATTTGCCCTTGGTAATCTATAAATCCTGTTTTTCTCCACAAGCTGGGAAGGGAGATGTTCCCATGAATATTTTTCATTTCTTTTTGTTCTATACCAGCAAAACTTCCGATATTAACAGAAGGCACTGGGAGAAGCCCACAAGTTCACCTGCTTCCATTTGGAACTACAGGATGTGGCAGAAGTAATCTTTTGAAGAACGTGATGCAGAACCCAATGATATTAAAATCTAAAGAACTTTGAAGTGAAAAGATGACATCCTATTCCACAATGGGAATCCCTCTAACATGGTTCATGTAATGTTCTTCACTTTAAAAAAAATAGCATATAACTCTATTTCTTAGCACCCACCAACTCTTTTTTCTGCCTCAATTCTCCTAATCCTCTTTTAACCTTCCCACATCTGTCTGCTAACATGTTGCCATTTTTTGTTTAATCACCCTTAAGAATTCTTACCGGGTCCAGCATAAAGCAGTTGACTCCACATGCCATAGCCAACACTAACATTGTGGCACTGCCATAGAGTGCATACCCAGCAGCCACTAGATTCCTGCCAGGCTGCAAAGCATCCTTCTCAGAAGGCTCACCAGTTGAATTCTGGAATGCAAAAAAAAGCCAAAACAACTTTGTTTTTGGTCCTCCATTATTAACAGGATGCATGATGATACTATAGTCTTAATGTAATGAGACATCTCTCTTTAATAGCTTTACTTCATGCATTAGGTAATTTCCTGATTCTATTACTGCTGTAGCCTTCCCACCAGATGCCTAGTTTCCTGTATCTGGAACACTCTTTCCAAACAAGATCCTGCTCTAATTTTACTAATCAGATTTTCTCTTGTTTCTCCCTTACTGCTTCAAAATATAAGCACACACACTCTCTCTTTAGTTTATAGCTCCCTGAATATTCCAATTTTATTACTATCATCCAGATCTTCCACCATTCAACCTCATCTTTACTTAAACAAATTAACACAGGGTCAAGAGAAGTATGTCTGTTGGGGAAATCAAATATGTGGACCATATTACCAGGGGACAGAGCTTTGTATATAAAGGACTCCAGGAAGTCAATGAACTTGAATTTTCCCCTATCTTCATCATGTTATCAGTATTCCCAGAGGGATGGATATCATTCAGTTATCTCTTACTGATGCTTCTATGGAATGGGTAATCAAGGCAACAATTGCTAATTTCCACGTAGCAGGGACATATGCTCTGGTTCCTTGTTGAGGCACATGTACCTTACTGAGATGGTATAGGGAATTGCTTGTTGGTCCCCAATAACTAGGGCATCTCTAGAAATGATTGTCAATTGTGAGTTAGGAAGATAGGCTTTATTTAAGTTATAAGAGGCATAGGAGCAACTCTGCCCTTTTCTTTTGGACCTCTCTCCCATTATGCATGCTTTCTCTTCCTTGAATTTCTAGCAAGAAGCAAAAGGATCTTCTCTTCCTTCCACTACCCCTTCCAATGACAATGTTGGCTTACAGCACAAGTACATAGCATAGGAAGATGTGCTTAATTAAACAGGTCTGAGATTGAACCTTATGTCCCTGGCTGCTTTCTTTTGCTTCTTTCCTTCCCTAAGCACAGGTCAGCAACTAGTGATCCAGACAACTGGATGTTTATAGGATTGGGGTCTACCATATGAGTTCAAGAGTTCCTGAATTCTTGAGTCAGGTACTGGCTGACCAGTGGGAGATTTCCTTAACAGCATTCGTCTCAGAAGATTAAAAATGACCACCACTAGGATCACCATATAGTTGAAGGATGAAAGAAATCCAGACCCTGATTGGCCAGGAGATCAAGACATTGTAAGTTGTACAGACAGTTCAAGTCCAAGGTGAATATGAAATACCCGTTCTGCAGTCCCACAGAAGAGATAGAAATAGAGATAGGTAGGTAAATAATGGGCTGTGCTTCATGTATTTCTATATTATTGGCCTTTAAGTCTTTTGTATTTTATATGGTTTTTGTAATAAGGGAAATAAAATGACTGTCCCTATATGAAGTACACATCATATATTGACTATCTCATTTTTTTTTTGGTTAGGCAATGGGATTAAGTGACTTGCCCAAGGTCACACAGCTAGTAAGTGTTAAGTGTCTGAGGCTGGATTTGAACTCAGGTCCTCCTGACTCTAAAGTCAGAGCTCTATTCACTGTGCCACCTAGCTGCCCCTATCTCACTTTTTTAGAAAGGATCTTGTTGACCCAGTTTTGGGAAAACAGTAGACGTAAGCCATACTTAATCTTTGTTTTAGAAATTTCTATGGAGTTACTCCAGGCGAGGGAGGGAAAGAGAAGAGAGGAGAAAGGAGGAGGAAGGAGGAGGAAGAGGAGAAAGAAGAGAGACAGAGAAACCTGATTCTGATCTCTCCTTTTAGGGGTCAGGTCTTCATCTTGGTCCATGAGAGCTTAGAGGCCCAAATAGAAAGGGTCCCCGGTACTATATTTCTTTTGTCTTCACTATACACTGAATTTGTTCTTCACCAAGCTCTTTGATATATGATTCAATTCAACAAATATTTAAGCACCTACACTATGCTAGGCACTGGAGATACATCACTGAAAAACTTCATAATCTTTGCCCTCAAAGAGCTTATAATATAACAAGAATATAACTTGCACTGGAATAAGAAACCATACAAGGTAGATTGTGATAGTAAGAAATTCAAAGTATTCTGAGAAAATTTGAGGGAGATGTTACTTACACCAGAAGAAACCAGTGAAGGCTTTATGGAAGAAGTAATCCTGAAGGAAAAGAAGGTTTTCAACAAGAAGAGAAGAGGTTGAAGTACATTCTAGGTATAGAGGACACTTCCTATGTAAATGCATAGAGGTGGAAGAGTGAAGGATACAATCAGTAGCAGCAGCAGCAGCAGCAGATATAGCAATAGCAGTCCAGTTTGGTTGGTACATGGAAGGCGAGTACTGCAAAGGGAAGTAGCATAAGATAAAACTGGAAAGGTAGGTCAAACCAGATTGTGGAAAGTCCTAAATGGCTTGTGTTTCATCTTGTATAGGAAATAGGGAGTCAATCTTTTTTGAACAGGAGATTACCTCATGCTGGAGACCTGTAAGCTTTCAGTGTACCTGAAAGTGGTCTGATCCAGGGTAAAATCTGAGCACTGGCTTAGCACTGGTTTCTGCAAATTCCTGACCTGGATTTGGATCTGAGCAACACAATTGTGGGCATAGCCCTGGTTGGAGCTCCAGTACACTGCTGTTCGACTCAGACACTGCCAGACTTCCAGAAAGCATTGCGAGTTCAGAGTGACAGAAGTGTAAGCTCCCCTTTAGTCTGTCTGAACTTCCTGCCCTGGTTGTTCTGGGGCAGGCTTCAGGCTAGGCTAGGGATTGGATCTGAAACCCTCACTCCACCTCCGGAGGTCAGAATTACATAGCTGACACTTGCTTCTGAACTTTCTCCTTGCTCAGTACACAGCCTAGAGCCCAGTCCTTACCGTGGACTGCCACTCCTAAGGGTAGGTCTCCTTCTCAGGTCACACTAGATCTCTGACCCAGTGGTGGATAGTGGGCAATAGAACTACCAGCTGGCACCTGTTCCTGCTACCTGCACAAGGTTAGACAACTCTGAGCTGCATCTGAGACCTCTTCTTTCCCTGGTTCACAGTCAAAGGTAGATTTCTTTCAGTCCCCATACGGGAACATTCTGTGTGGCTGTCCCCAGTATCCACAGACCTCTCTGTCTTCCTCTTTTTGTTGACCTGGTCTGGAAAAATTACCCACTATGATGTTTTTCATAGATTTCCAAATTAGGACTCAGTCTGGTATATTTCTAGATTCGGAGTGGGGAATAGTTGATGAGGAGAGCTTGGCCATCCCATTATACTTCCATCTCATGCCTAGAGTAAACTGTACTTCCACCCATCCCCATTCTCCATCTCTTAACATTCCTCCCTTATTTTCTGGAAGAAGTGGCATTTTGAGCCTTGAAGTCTTCCCTGACTGCCCCCAACACCCCCTCCAACCCAAGCAAGCAATAGTTATCTCCTCTCATCAAATTCATGCATAGCATTTTTACTAGACTTTTCCTTTGTTCATATGACACTTTCTTGTATCACAGTTATTCACGTGCACATCTTTTCCCTCATCACATTTTAATTTCAAGAATAAAGTCTATGCTTTATCTGTATTCCAGGGCCAAAAATACTTAGTAGAGGACAAGTGTGTGTTGAATTGAATTAAGTTATACTCTGTACATATAAAGAAATAGATCTCTAATGATATTGATGAAGCTTTTTAGAGCTTCAATCACAAGAATAAAATACCTTCCACTCTCTTCTCACTAGTGTACATTGCCTGGCCAACTTAATGCATCTTCATGTGCAGAGTTGAAGGTCTGGGTAATATCCTGGCAATAATTTCAGAACTTGGGTAAAAGTACCTTTAAAATCATGCCATCCACAACATAGATTTTTTTGCTTCTGTAACAGTGGATAAGGTGATACTGAGTGAAGCCTAGTCATGAAAGCATGTGGTTCCCTAGGCTTGTATCTTCTGCTGATCTGAAAGAAAAATGAAGCATCACATTTTACCTTTCTGTAGATGCCAAAAATAGTTCCAATGGATGCAAGGCAGTCAATGTTAGAAGAACCATCCAGAGGATCAAAACAGACCACATATTTACCCTGAAAATAAAAGGAAAAAATGATCAGGTTTTGTTTTGAATATAAAGTGTTACAGTGAGTAGAGTCAGGGTGCTAGCCCCCAGATGATCCAAATGGTACCCTAGGAGAGGGGACAAAGTAAGGAAGTACCATTAAGGATAACACAAATTCACACACAATGGACAGGATTACTCCTTTTTTGGGAAGGGGGGCAGGGGTTACTCTGGGCCTTTTTTATTTTTCTTTTCTATCATTGTTAGAAAAGTGCTTTGTCATTTATTTATTTTTGACATTCATTTTTTAAAGTTTTGATTTCTAAATTCTCTCCCTCTCTCCAGCTCCTCCCCCAGCTATTGAGAAGGCAGGCAATATAATGTCAATTTTACAAGTGAAGTCGTGCAAAACATATTTCCATATTAGCAATGTTGCAATAAAAATAAAGAAATGGAAAAAAAAAGTATACTTCAATGTGCACTCAGAGTTATAAGTTCTCTCTCTGGAATTGGATACCATTTTTCATCATGAGTCCTTTGGAATTGTCTTGGACTATTGTATTGATTAGAGTAGATAAGTCTTCCATAATTGATCATTGTTATAATATTACTGTTATTGTATACAATGTTTTCCTGGTTCTGTTCACTTCACATCAGTGAAACCATCCTGCTCATCAGTTTTATTTTTCAATAGCACAGTAGTATTCCATCAAAATCATATACTCCACCTTATTCAGCCCATTCTCCAATTGACAGACATTCCCTCAATTTCCAATTATTTAGTTGGATGGGATTATTCCTAAAGGCAATGGGGTATTATGGACTCATCGTTGGCTTTGTAATATTCAAATCACAGCTCTGCCATTTCCTACTATTCACTGTGACCTTGGGCGAAGTCATTTCACCTCTTCTGTCCTCAGTTGGACCTCGGTTTTCTCAACTGTTAAATAAGGGGGTTGGACTAAGATCTAAGGCCCCCTTCTGACAGAAATGTTGTGATTCCTTAACCTGAGTTTAAATTCTGGTTCTGCTACATGCTACATGTATGTTTTCAGTAAGTCATATCCCAGGATATCAGTTTTCTCGTCCAAAAAATGAGGAATAAGACTAGGTATTCCTTGTAGCTCTAAAGTTGTAGAATAGGTGTGGGGAACCTTTGGCCTCAAGGCCACACGTGGCCCTGCAGCCCTCTGACTGAATCCAAACTTCACAGAGCAAATCCCCTTAATAAAAGGATTTGTTCTGTAAAACTTGGACTCAGTCAAAAGGCTGCACCCAGGGACCTAGAGGGCCACATGTGGCCCTGAAGCTGCAGGTTCCCACGCCTGTCCTAGAGTCTATAGCAGTGGTATAAGACTCAAACAGCTGCCACTAATCCATACATAAGAATCCCTGTGGCTGCACAATGACTTAAGTTTTAAAACATAATGTTATTTATGTCTTCATTGTATTTTTTTTTCTTTTTCCCAGCTAGGTAGGACAGTGGGCAGAGCATTGGCCATGGAGTCAGGGAGATCTGAGTTCAAATTTGGCCTCAGACATTTACTAGCTGTGTGACCCTGGGCAAGTCACTTAATCCCAATTGCCTACAAAACAAAAACAAAGTATTTCCCAAGTCCATCTTAATGTGGTTTGGGCTGTACTCTGAAGTGCTCTGGGAGTGCTGAGCCTGGGAGTACGGGACTACAGAATTAATTTTTTTTAATTTAATTTATATTTTCTGTTACATTTTAAGTTTTGAACTATCTCCCTCCCCTCCCCACACTAGAGAAGGCACAAATTTATAAATATATATAAAATGCATACTTCTGTTTATCAATTCTTAATAGGTCCTTTATAGTCGATTTGAGTATTTATAGTATTCAGAATAACTTAGTTGTTCACAATTATTCTTTAAACAATATTGCTATTACTGTAACCAACATTCTCTTTGTTCTGTTCACTTTACTTTTCATTATTTCTTTCCATGTTTTTCTAAAATCAGCTCATCATTTCTCACAGGACAGTAGTATTCCATCACAATCATATACTACAACTTTTGTTTAGCCATTCCCCAACTGATGGGCATCTCCTCAATTTCCAGTTCTTCTCCACCACAAAGAGAGTTGCTGTAGATATTTTAGGACATATGGGTTCTTTTCCTTTTTCCCTGATCACCTTGGGAAACAGACCTAATAGTGGTATTGCTGCATCAAAGGATATATAGAGTTTTATAACTATTTGGGCATAGTTCCAGGTTGTTCTCCAAAATGGTTGGATCAGTTCACAATTCCACCAACAGTGTAATTAATGTTCCAATTTTCCCACATCCCCTCCAACATTTGTCACTTTATCCTATCATTTTAGCTAGTTTGAAAGGTGTGAGATGATTTCTCAAAGTTGTTTTAATTTGCATTTCTCTAATCAATAGTGATTTAGAGCATCTTTTCATATGACTATAGTTTTGATTTCTTCACTGAAAAACTGCTTGTTTATATTCTTTGACCACTTATCAGCTGGGGAATGACTACAGAACTCTTCACAGAAGTGACCACGATAATGTAATGGGAAGTCACCATGAAAGACTTCAGCAAACAGCGACCACTGATGACTACAAAAGACTGATAAAGAAGCACATCTTTCCACCTCTTGGTAAAGATATTCAGAACCAGATGTACTCTCAGCTAGGGCTAGTATCTTCATTTATTTTGCTTGGTTTTACATATTTGATTTTACATATTTGTTATGGTGGAGAGGGCAGTGCTAGTGGCAGTGAAAGATATATTTTTTAAAAAGCTTCAATAAATATTTTAAAAGTTTAACATAGGAAAGGGAGGAAAGGTTTAGAAGGAGCAAAAAATAGAACAATTTGCTGCTACCTGGTTAAATATATATTTACACATAATTATTTAGTCTAAAGCCTGTATCTGTATCTATATAGTTATATATACATCTTTTCTTCCTAATCACATTACATATGTATGTATGTATGTATGTATGTATGTGTGTATGTGTATAGTGAGTGTCCCAAAAGTCTTAAAACTGCACTAAGACTTTTGGGACAACATACACACACACACTCTTTTTTTAAAATACTAAAGCACTGCACGTGGTAGAAATTCATAGTTCCCCTGTATGTCCCACTTTATGTCAAGACATTTTAAAAAATTGTTGATGACTGTTGAATTCACAATAAAATCGAGTTTTTTTTAATCTTCACAGAAACATAATATTTGTAAATATTCTGCCCCTGAGCTTCAGGTGCCTCTGAAAATATGAAGTAAAAACATCTGTCATCTGGAAAACAATAATGGTGACTGATGAGGAATATTTTAAAAGCAATAATAGATCATAAAAAGTGTTTCAGTGTGTCTTTAGTATTTACAAGGGGAGAAACAGTTCTACCTTCAGATAGCTGATCCTTGCCATTTAAAGGAAATATCCTCAGAGTAAAGGAAAATTACCAGGCTACTGCAGCTTCCTAGTCGAAGGCACAGAATCTTAGAATTCAGAGAGAATTTGTAAGCTATCTTTTGGTCAGCTCACACCTGAAAAAAGAACCCTGCATCTAAGTGGTCATTCAATCTTTGCCCGGAGGACTCGTTGTTGTGGTTGAGTCATTTCAGTAGGGTCTGATTCTGTGATACCATTTGGGGTTTTCTTGGCAAAGACGCTGGAGTGGTTTGCCATTTCCTTCTCCATCCCATTTTATAGATGAGGAAACTGAGGCAAACAGGGTTAAGTGACTTGCTCAGGGTCACACAGCTAGTATGTGTCTAAGGCCAGATTTGAACTCAGGAAGAGTAAGGGGAACCTTCACAGTCCATTCCATTTTTTTGCATCACTCTTATTCACAAGTTTTTCTTTTCAAGCCTTAATTTGCCATTTTGGAATTTCTTCCAATTGCTCCCAGCTCTGTCCTCAGGGACTTAGCAGAACAAATTTAGTAGAACATCCATAACATGGTTCTCCAAATACTTGAAGACTACTATCATCCCATGCCCACCCCACCCCCAAGTCTTCTCTAAACAACCTCAGGTCCTCATATGTCATAATCTTCAGGCATTGCTTGTCCTGGTTACTTACCAATGTTCTCATCAAACTGTGGGCCCCAGAACTGAACACAACAGTCTAGGTGTGGTCTGACAAGGGCAGAAGATGGCAGCAGTACTATCACTTCTCTAGTCCTGGACATTAATGCCTCTCTTAAAGCCGTTGAAGAACATTTTCATGTTTTTCATTTTTTTTTTAAACCTCAAAGATCCTTTTCAGATGAACTACTACCTAGACAGTTCTCACCCATCTTCTACTTACAAAGTCAGTTTTTTTTTTAACCCAAGTGTAAGACTTTACATTTGATCCTTATTTCATTAGATTTGCCAAATATTCTTGCCTGATGAGATATTTTTGGAACATGACCCTATCATCCAATGTAATAACTATCCCTTCCAGCTTTGTTTCATGTACAAATATGTGCCATCTACTTGATAATCCTTCCATCTGTGCCCTTATCCCAGTCATTAATAAAAAATGTCAATCAACATAAATTCAAACACAGATCCCTGGGACACTCCAATGGAAAATTCCTTCCGACTTCCTATCAAACTACTCAGGACAGTCTAAGTCTAGCCACTCAACCATTTCTGAATTCACCTAACAAATTCTCCTATCATCTAACTCAGATTTCTTGTGTCCACAAGAGAAAGACGGAAGGCTTTGTTCAATGCTCTGCTACTATCTATTTAGATAACACCTACAGCTTTCCTTTGAGCTACCTTTGAGTTATGAATGGAAATGAGGTTAAACTGGCCTGACTTGTTCTTGATAAAGCCACACTAGCTCATGATCACTGCTTCCTTTTTTTAGATGTTCACTAGTTTATTATAGAATTTTGCCTAGAACTCAATTTAAGTTCAATGCACTGATATGGTTTGCAGACTACATTCACTTCTTTTTGGGGCAGCTAGATGGAACAGTGAATAAAGCTCTGGGCCTAGAGTCTGAAAGACCTGAGTTCATATCCAGCCTCAGACACTTCCTATCTATGTAAACTGTTAGCCTCCGTTTCCTCAACTACAAAATGAGCTGGAGAAGGAATTGGCAAATCACTCCAATATCTCTGCCAAGAAAACCCCAAATGGGGTCTTGGAGGGTTGGACATGACTAAACAACAAAATCCAAGTCAATCCTGTAATAGCTGCCCAATTTACGATGATCCTTCAAACGATACTGCTTATCAATCACAGTAGCCAGTTCTTTCATTTCCCTAAGGTGTAGATCATCTGGGCCAGGTGACAAACTTATGAAGAAGAGTTAAATGTTTTACTATTCCTTCCTTCTTCCCTTGGGTATTAGTAATCTATTAGCCATGTTTGTTCTTTCCTATCTCAGCTTAAAACTGTATTAAGAATTTTGGGACACTCAGTATAACTGGCTTCCTTTATAATTCTATGTATTTTTATATTTGGAAGCATTATTCTGAGGCGAGGTCCATAGACTTCACCAGACTGCCAAAGGGATCCATGACACTAAAAAGATTAAGAAGTCCTGTGACATCTCCAAAAGTCTCATGATAGAAAATGCTATCTACATCCAGAGAAAGAACTATAGAGTTTGAATGCAAATCGAAGCATGCTATTTGCTCTTTTTTTCTCCTGTTTTGTTTTGTTTCTTCTTTTTTGTGGTTCCTCCTATTGGTTCTAATTTTTCCTTACAACATGACTAGTGTGAAAATATGTTTAATAGGAATGTATATGTAGAGCCTATATCAGATTGCACGCTGTCTTGGGGAAGGAGGAAGGGAGAGAGGGGGAGAAAATTTAAAACTCAAAATCTTATGGAAGTGAATGCTGAAAACTAAAAATAAATTAATTAAAAAGAAAAAAAAAGAAGTCCTGTGTCTAACCCCTCAATTTACAGATAAGGAAACTGACACCCAGGTTGGTTGTGACTTTCCCAGGGTCACACAGCTATGCTTACTTAGTAACTTAATCTCTAATTTCTTCTCTTGGGCAGGCTTATTCACCAGGAGAAAATACCCTATAAAAGTAATCCATTCCAGCCCATGGCCCAAGTATTAGTTCACTATTAAGAATTAATAAGCTGGCATTTATTCTAGTTTATAAATCAGCCTCTTATGAATTTGATTTCTGTTAACCAAGCTTCTATGGCTAGATGACTCCTGGGTAAATGAAACATTTTAGGTTTTTGAACCTGTGAAGTTGAGGACCAGACCCTAAACTGTATACCTTCCATAAGAGTAGCTTGAGAGGCAACATGGTGTAGTGGATAGAACACCAAGTGTGAAGTCAGGAATACCTGGTTTCAAAGGCCACCTTACTACTTAACCTCTCTGTTTCTTCTTCTTCTTCTGTGAAATGAGGGAATTGGACCCAGTGGTCTCTAATGTGTCTTTCATCTCTAAATCAACGTTCCAATGTGCCAGGTACATCTATCCCACGTGGGCTAGCCTCTAAAAGCAAGATGACTGTGTAGGAATATCTCAACAAGATATATCTTCAGGCTAGGAGAAATCATTGTGTGGTTCCAACATCCACTATAAAATACCTCCAAAGGTAAGCTAATGTAATGAAAACCAGTTTAACCTGATGAATCACTGGAAACAGTACTTGGTTGTGTGGTCATGTCATGAAACTCTGTATTGGCCAAGATTTCATGCTGTCACATAACTGCTTAAGGTTAAGAAAGGAGTGAAATTAGGAAGGAAGAACTGAAATGCTTTTTCATCAGGCTGTTGAGGAAGCTACATTCTAAGCCCAGTTCAAAGTCAAAAGACAGTAAAGACAAAAAGTAGAAGCAATATAGTACATAGAGACTGCCTGATGGATTAAGGAGTCATATAACATCTAGCCCTGTCATTGATATGTGAATTGTGGAATCTAAGTCTTTTTTTTATTTAATTTAAGAAAAAAATTTTTTTGTACCACTGGGAAAATGAACATCTTATTAGACTTACCCATGTTCCCATTGAACTTACAATTACAAGAATCTTTGATTGATAGGCCTTAACAACAAGACTGTTGCTGTTGTTCAGTTGTTTCAGTCAAGTCCAACTCTTTGTGACACAATTTAGGGTTTTCTTGGTAGAGATACTGGAGTGGCTTACCATTTCCCTCTCCAGCTCATTTTACAGATGAGGAAACTGAGGCAAACAGGGTTAAGGATTTGCCCAGGGTCACACAGCTAGTATGTATGAGGCCGGCCAGATTTGAACTCAGGTCTTCCTGACTCGAGGCCCAGTGATCTATCCACTGTGCCACCTAACTGCCCCTAAAGGGACATTAACAATCAACCATTATAATGAAGAAACAGGGGTTCAAGGGTCTCCTTCTTATGCATGAGGTCAGTCCTGATCCTCAGAGCTGCTTATACCCCACTCTTCCACCCCCAGCCGCAAAAAAAATCCTTGTATTTGCTTTGTGTATTTACTTCTAACTTAAAAATACTTCTCACAGAGACATTCAATATTATTGCTGAACCTTTAAATCTTGGATAGTGACTTTTAACTGCTATCTTGAGAGAGTTAACTGACATGACTAAAGAGAGACTCGTGAGATACTGTGGATTAAGATAATTTCTTTCCAGAGGAGTTTTAGATAGTTAACTACCACAAAGAAAGGGTCTATGAAAAACTAATGTTAACTGTCCACTTTGAGAGCTAATGTGAGTGTGAGGCATTGAGAAAGCTTTCCTGAGGAGACATAGAGAACTGACTGACTGTCATGGCAGACAGAGACAGAGAGAGAGACAGAGAGACTATAGTAATTAACTGTTATCCTTAAAAGAGTCTGGAGAAACATCACTAGAAAACTGAATTTAACCCTAATTCTGCAGAGAAGACATTATTTTGAAGTGACATTCTGAAGAGAATTTCTGAGAGACTTTACCTGAAAGAACTTAGTGTAATACCAGCTTCCATAGGTCTCACACAGAAACAGTGAATACAGTTACTGTATCTTTAAAGTGCAATGGAATTTTGAAGTGACAATTTAGGTCATTCTATGAGGAATCAGGGAGGAGGTTGAGAGCTTAATTAAAATTGAATCACAACTGTAATGACTGAAAAGACAAAGAAAAACATTTTAAGAGAACTTGTTTCCTGAAGAATTGAGTTTAACCTTTATCTTCTAAGAAAACACAAAGAGAATTCTAAGTGTCAGGTGTTTGGTCTGAGGCCAGATTTGAGCTGACTTCAGGGCTGGTGCTCTATCCACTGCACCACCTAGCTGCCCCAAAGATAATTCTTGAAAAGAGACTTTAATTGGTATCCAGAGAGAACTTAATGCTGGGACTCTGTTTTTAGAATTCAGGAGAACTCAATAGTTATAGTGATAGCTAAAAATGAATTTGGCTGTGACCTTTCTCACAGCTAATACATTGTAAATAATTATTTCCATTCTGTTGTTTGCTCCATTGTTGATAAATGATATAGGCAATAACTTGTTTGTTTAAGCCTAGGATATTAAGTCTGAAATATATAGAAAGATGACCAAGCATTTATTGAAAGAGGTCTTTCTAGTTTTATTAAGTAACATTATTTATTTAATCACCTTGGGGGCTCAGAGCTAATTAATTTATAAGAACTGTTGCAATTTTAGTAAATATACCTCCTCAGATTATCTTAAAGCCCAAGATGAGAATTAACAAGAAAAATGAGTTTGTAGTCAGTATTGCCCTACCCATCTAGACACAAATGGAATATTGCCCTACACACAAATAGGGTCAATCCTAAATCCCAGCTACATTGAATGTAGTTCCAGTTTATACACACGCACACACATATACACGTATATGTATGTATATGTGTATATACAGATATACATATATACACTCCATGCATGTGTGTACACACACATGTATATATACCTATGTGTGTACACACATACATAGGTATATATAATTATATATATA